AATAGAATAGAATAGAATAGAATAGAATAGAAAATAGAATAGAATAGAATTCATAATAATAGAATAGAATAGAATAGAAAATAGAATAGAAGAATAGAATAGAAAATAGAATAGAAAATAGAATAGAATAGAATTCATAATAGAATAGAATAATAAAATAGAATAGAATAATAGAATGGAATGGAATAGAAAATAGAATAGAATAGAATTCATAATAGAATAAAATAGAATAGAATAAAATAGAATAGAATAGAATTCAGAATAGAATAATAGAGTAGAGTAGAGTAGAATAGAATAGAATAGAATAGAATAGAAGCTGGAAGGGACCTTGGAGGTCTTCTAGTCCAGCCCCCTATACCATCTCAGACTTAGATCTCTGAGATTTTTGTTTTCCTCTTCCTTCCTCCTCCCTCTCTCCTTTCCTGCTATGCCATTTGGACAATCAGCCGACGGCTAAAAGCTTCTTTACGTGCCATCGGTCGACGCCGGAGAGCAGGGACTAAAAATACGGCCTTCCCGCGGCCTCAGACTCACCTGGATGGAGGGGAAACTCATGCCCACGATGAAGTTGCTAGTCCAGTTGGCAAAGCCGGCCACCGCCATGGCGGCCGGACGGGGCCCCTGGCTGAACAGCTCGGCCACAATGAACCACGGGATGGGGCCCGGCCCGATCTCGAAGAAAGCCACGAAGGCGAAAATAGCCACCATGCTCAGGTAACCCATCCAGGCAACACTTTTCTGCCAAGGAGGGGAGACAAGATTTTTCTGAGCGGATTTTTCTGGCTGGCAAAAGTCCCGAACGCGCCGGTCCTCGGTTTACAACCGTTCGTTTAGTGACCGAGCTTATCAACGGCGCTGAAAAAAAAAGGGACTTGCAACCGATTTTCACACTCAACAACTGTCGCAGCGTCCCCGCGGTCAGGCGATCCAAATTCGGGTCGCTCGGCAAGCGACTCGTATTTACGACGGTCGTATTCACGCGATCCCCCTTTTGCGACCGTCTGACCAGCCAAGTCAGCGGGGGGAGACCCGGGTTCGCTTAACGACCGGGTGACTAGCGAAACGACGGCAGGGGTTTCGTTCAGAAAAATTGCCCAACGGGGCGAAACTCACTTAACGACGTGTCTCGCTGAGCGACAGAAAATTGGGGGTGGGCGGTGAGCGTATCTTAAGGTCGCTGCGGTGAAAAAGGGCCCTTTCGGTGACCCGCTGGAGTGGATTTTCCCGCCTCGCAAAAGGAAATGGGATCCCTGCTGGTTCGGATTAAGGGACGGTGGAACTCACCGCCACCAGATGTGACTGACTTTGCAGCGAATTCCAGCCCTCAAGAAAGGCACCCTTGGTCCAGTTACTCACCAGGAGGAGGAGGGAGGTCATCATCAAAAGGGCACAGATGCCCATCCCGAATAAGCCCACCAGGTGTAGCGTCCGTCTTCCCGCCCGCTCGACCAGGAACACCTGGAAGGGAGCAAACAGGTGAGAAAAAGGCGTCGAGAATCTTCCCTGGAGGGAGCAGGGAGGGTCAGGTGAGCGATCCTAAGAGCTGTTTGATATCTATAGCAACTTATGGATAGCAAATTTCGATTCTTATAGCAAATTGAGTAGGGGGTTGGACTAGAAGACCTCCGAGGTCCCTTCCGACTCTGTTATTCTTTTATTCTGTTATATCAATTTCTGGAGCAAATTATGGATGGCAGAGTTCATTTTTTATTGCAAATTGAGCAAGGGGTTGGACTAGAAGACCTCCGAGGACCCCTCCCAACTCTGTTAGTCTTTTATTTCAATTTTTATTTCAATTTCTGGAGCAAATTATTTGATAGCAAAGTTCAGGTTTTATAGCAAATTGAATAGGGGGTTGGACTAGAAGACCTCCGAGGTCCCTTCCGACGCTGTTATTCTTTTATTCTGTTATTTCGATTTCTGGAGCAAATTATTTGAAAGCAGATTTCACGTTTTATAGCAAATTGAGTAGGGGGTTGGACTAGGGGACCTCCAAGGTCCCTCCCAACTCTGTTATTCTTTTATTTCAATTTTTATTTCAATTTCTGGAGCAAATTATGGATAGCAGAGTTTACCATTGATGGACTTCAACTCCCAGAATCCCCCAGCCATATTCTCTTTTTTCCCCACTTTGCTGAAGTCAAGTTATATTATGTTCACCTCCTACCCACCATCTATTAAGAAAGTCACCCTATCCAAAAAAATAAAAAACGCGATAAAAGGAGCTTAACCACATTTGCTCTTATCCACCAGCCATGCTTAATAATAATAATAATAATAATAATAATAATAATAATAATAATAATAATAATAAAGTTGGAAGGGACCTTGGGGGTCATCTAGTCCAACCCCCTGTTCAGGCAGGAAACCCTATACCATTTCGGACAAATGGCTGTCCAGTCTCTTCTTAAAAACTTCCAGTGTTGGAGCCTTCACCGCTTCCGGAGGCAGGTGGTTCCACTGGTTAATTGTTGGGGAATTGCTAGGGAATTCTGGGAGTTGAAGTCCACCGCTCTTAAAAGTGACCTGGTCTGGAGACTCCTGCTCTTGGGGACCCCCCCCAGAGGGTCGGGGTGAGGCAGGACCTCTTACCGAAATGATGGTGAAGATGGTGTTTACCACGCCCGTCCCGATGGTCGCGTAGATGGGCTGTTCCAAACCGGCTTTGGTCAAGATGTCAGTTGAGTAGTAGAAGACCTAAAGAGGAACGGCGAAGGTTCTTCCTGGTTCTTTGAGGGGGGGTCCCCTGGCCCGGCCCCCCTTTTGCCCTCCCTCCCTTCCTCACCGCGTTGATGTCCCACTCACCGCGTTGATGCCCGACAGCTGTTGGGAGAGCTGCAGGACCACGGCGATCAAGAGCGGCTGGCGGTAAATGCGGGAACGGAACAGCTGGAGGATGGAGACCTTGTGTTCCATGTCCATCCGCCGCTTCTCCTCCTTCATCTCTGTCAACGCGGCACTCACGTCCTGACAGCCGGTGAGCCGCTTGAGACCTACGGGGGGGGAACCCGTGGACGTGAGCAAGGGGGGGAGCGCCGCCCAATGGGGTGGGTTAGGGTAGGAAGGATAGGGAACCCCAGGAACGGTTTTCCCAGTGGCAATGTACGGCTGTGAAAGTTGGACCGTAAGAAAGGCTGAGCGCCAAAGAACGGAGGCCTTTGGACTCTGGTGCTGGAGAAGACTCCTGTGAGTCCCCTGGACTGCAAGGCGATCCAACCGGTCGGTCCTAGAGGAGATCAACCCCGACTGCTCCTTAGAAGGCCAGATCCTGAGGTTGAAACTCAAGTACTTTGGCCACCTAATGAGAAGGAAGGACTCCCTGGAGAAGGGCCTGATGCTGGGAAAGATGGAGGGCAAGAGAAGAAGGGGACGACAGAGAATAATGAGGTGGCTGGATGGAGTCACTGAAGCAGGAGGCGTGAGCTTCAATGGACTCCAGAAGATGGTAGAGGACAGGAAGGCCTGGAGGAACGTTGTCCGTGGGGTCACGATGGGTCGGACAAGATTTCGCAACTAACAACAACAACAAAGGAACGGTGGAAAGACGGGATGGGAGGAGAGCGATGGACAACCTTTGGGTTGACTTGAAGCCACATCCCACTCCTTGCTGCAGTACTAGGACTGCAATTCCCAGCATCCCTTGAGGTGTTAGCTCAGAGATTTGAGGAGTTGTAAGCTCCATGCACCTGGAGGGTAATGGATTGCGGGGGGGGGGGGATGGACAAGATTCCATTGGTGGATCCATAAATAAGGTCACCCGTGAGAAGGTGAGAGAAGGAAGAAACAGATCAGAAGACTTATGTCTAACTCAGGGGTCTCCAAGCTGGCTGCTGACTAACCCTCTTCCAAAGACTTTTAGTCATTTTGGTTGGCTAAATGCTAAGTCCGGAGTGCATATCGCACAAGAGTGCCCCAGATCATGAGCAGAATTCACCACTGTCTCACATTGCAACGGACGTTTTGGCCTCGTCCGTGGGGAGGACAATCGGTACTCACTCTCTTTGGCCTTGGACTCCTTGTTTCGGACGATGTACAGGTAGCGCGGGCTCTCCGGGCAGAAAGGGAAGAGCAGCAGCTGCAGGATGGAGGGCACCACGGTGATGCCCATCAAGAGCGGCCAGTAGGTCTCATTGCCCAGCAGGGTCTCCAGGCCGCACACCTGTGGCAGGGGGGGAAAGCGGCTCGTTCAAGACTGACGCGCAATCAACGGGAAGACGCAAGCTGAATATCGGTGCCTAAAGGAGAATATTTGTAACTCACGGTTGAAAGGAGGGGTCCTTGGTGCTCTGGGTTGTTTCATGACCCAACTAGGTAACATCATCAGTACTAGAAGGGAGGAGGAGGAGGAGGAGGAGGAGGAGGAGGAGGAGGACAACTATGGGGTCCTTGATGCTCTCTGAGCTTGGTTGTTTCATGACCCAACTACTGGTAGGTAATATCATCAATACTAGAAGGGAGGAGGAGGAGGAGGAGGAGGAAGAGGAGGAGGAGGAGGAGGAGGAAGAGGAGGAAAAGGACTGTGGGGTCCCTGGTGCTCTATGAGCTGGATGGTTTTTCTTGCAGACATCTCATGACCCAACTAGGGAACAGCATCAGTGCTAGGAGGGAGGGGGTTTGTGGCGAGGAGGAGGAGGAGGAGGAGGAGGAATGAGGGGTCCTTGGTGCTTTCTGAGTTTGAAGGCGCTGCCTGGCTGAGGAATTCTGGGAGTTGGAGTCCAGAAGTCATCAAAGGGCCCAGTTGGAAGACCCCTGCCCTTATCACACGAGGCGGAACCCCACATTTTCGTCCCAAGTCAGGGCAAGTCAAGGCCAGCTTTCCCCCCCCCCTCGGTGCCGAGCCCTCTTTGACCTGACCCCCTCCATGGAACCCACCCCACCCCAAAAAAATCTCAACCATAGGCCACTTACCTGGGCAAATAGGATCCCGATGACAATGGCCAGCTGGTTCAGGGTCCCCAAGGCCCCCCGAAGCTTGGTGGGGGCGATCTCCCCCACATACATGGGGACAAGCCCAGAGGCAAATCCTGGCAACAGAGAGAGGGAGAAAGGTGTGTTTGTGTGTGTGTGTGTGTGTGTGTGTGTGTGTGCGTGTGTGTGAATGAGACTGCTACATTGCGTCTACCCAAAGGAGGAATCCACGGAAGGGCTTCCTCTCCGAAAAAAAAAACAACGATCTTGAAAAACCATCACTGGCCCAGCATAGAGGCATGCTGCTCCTGAACATGGAGGTTCGACAGGAAGGACTTGCCAAATTGAGGGTCATCTTGGGTTCGCTCAACCTCTCCTAAGCCCCCCCCCCCAAACAGCCTGTCTCCTTTTGACCTTAGGGTATTTTTCTCCACCTTCTCATAGTGTAGATAAATAGGTAAGTGGCTTGGCTGATTGGAAAGTTGGTTGATTGGGACGATATTCACTTGTTCGTTCATTCATTCATTCATTCATTCATTCATTCATTCGTTCGTTCGTTCATTCGTTCGTTCATTCGTTCATTCGTTCGTTTATTCATTCATTCATTCCTTGATTGCACTCAGATATCATTTTAGTCAAGGCTGATTCGGTGTCATTGAAATAGTGAGTTCTAGTCCTATATAAAAGCCGGCTGGGTGACTTTGGGCCAGTCACCAGGAGACGTGAGTTCTAGTCTCACCTTAAGCATGAAAGCTGACTGGGTGACTTTAGCTCAATCATCAGGAGACAGGGAGGTCTAGTCCCATTTTAGCCATGATAACCAACTTGGTTATCGCCAGGAGACAGTGAGTTCTAGTTCCACCTTAGACATGAAAGCCAGCTGGGTGACTTTGGGCCAATCGTCAGGAGACGGTGAGTTCTAGTCCTGCCTTAGGCATAAAAGCCATCTGGTGACTGAGCCAATCGCTAGGAGACGGTGAGTTCTAGTCCCCCCCCTAAAATCTCCTCCTGTGGGCTCCCTTTCCCCTGCTGGACCCTCGGTCCGACGGGCGGGAAAGCCCGCCTCCCCCTTCATTCTCCCCCCCCCGTGAGCCTGTCCCACCTCCCACCCCGTACCTGAGAAAGCCCCGATCACAAACCGGCCGAAGATCATCATCTCGTACGATTTGCCCAGCTTGGCCAGCCCCATCAAGCCACCGCCGAGGAAGGCCAGGCCGTTGTTGACGATCATGGCTCTCTTCCTGGAAGCAGAAGAGACCCACCCCCCGGTATGGACAAAGAAGCTCTCTCGGGGGGGGCAGCCTGCACCCAACTGGGGCGGGGGTCCCTCCTCCCTTTCCAAACCAAACCCCGATCAGACCGTGTTGTGACCACCCATTAATCTGGGATTAAACCCAGTTCAGGGCTGGTTCCCGCCACAGCCGCAGAGCCATAGGAAATATCTCCCTACAGGCAGTCCTCCACTTACAACGCTTCATTTAGTGACCGTTCAAGGTTGGAACGGCATGGAAAGAGATGACTTAAAGCTGTTTTTCACACTTTACGACGTCCCGGCGGTCCAAATTTGGACGCTCGACAACTGACTCACGTTTACGATGGTCGCAGCCTCCCGTTTTTGCGACCTTCTGAAGAGCAAAGTCAAGCGGGGGGGGAAAGCCGGGTCCGCTTAACGACCGCGCGACTCGCTTAACAACTGCCGCAATTCGCTCAACGACCCTAGCCAGAAAGGTCACCAAACGGGGTGAAAGTTACTTAACAACTACCTGGCTTGGCCACAGAAATTTTGGACTCACTGGTCATCGTAAGTTGAGGACCACCCGTCACGTGTGAAGTGAGCCCCTTTCAAAAGGAAGTTTTGCACAAGGCTGCAATAAAAGGCAGTCCTCAGCTTACGACCGGTCACTTGGGGTCTGTTCAAAGCTACGACAGACACCTCCCCTGCCTGAAGGTATTTACCACCCATTTCTGAATTACCCTGTGGTCACATGCTTGCATTTGGGGCACCCAGCAACTGGCTTATATTTACGACCACATGCAGCACCTCGTAAGTTGAGGACTACCAGCATGTAGCCGTAAATCAAGGACTACCAGCATGTAGTCATAAGTTGAGGACTGCCAGCTTGTAGCCGTAAATTGAGGACTACCAGCATGTAGTCATAAGTTGAGGACTACCAGCTTGTAGCCATAAATCAAGGATTACCATCATGTAGTCATAAGTTGAGGACTGCCAGCTTGTAGCCATAAATCAAGGACTACCAGCATGTAGTCATAAGTTGAGGACTGCCAGCTTGTAGCCGTAAATTGAGGACTACCAGCAAGTAGTCGTAAGTTGAGGATTATTTGTAAAGTTGCCAGCTTCTGCCATCCGCGCAGGGCTCCGGCTGCTTAGGCCTGATCTCTTCCCTGTTGCAGCGCACTCTGCCCATGCTCAGAGGGAGGGAGGGAGGGAGGGGGGTCTCACCTGCCCAGCCATTCGGAGACCACGCCCACCAGGAAGGAGGTGAGCATCCCCCCCAGGGAGAAGATGGAGACGGAGAGGGACCACAGGAGGTTGAGCACGGCCGGGTCGATGGAGGAGGCGTTGGCCACGCCCTGCCGGTGCATCCAGGTGGCATTGTAGTTCTGCTCGATGATCTGGAATATAATAATAATAATAATAATAATAATAATAATAATAATAATAATAATAATAATAATAATAATAATAATAATAATAATAATAATAACAACAACAACAACAACTACTACTACTACTACTACTACTACTACTACTACTACTACTACTACAATAATAACAACAACAACAACAACAATAATAAAGTTGGAAGGGACCTCGGAGGTCATCTAGTCCAACCCCCTGTTCAGGCAGGAAACCCTATACTACTTCAGACTGTCCAGTCTCTTCTTAAAAACTTCTAGTGTTGGAGAAGGGATGGAGGGAGGGAGGGAGGGAGGAAGGAAGGAAGGAAGGAAAAAAAAGAATAAGAGAATAACAGACTCGGAAGGGACCTTGGAGGTCATCTAGCCCATGTATGTATAGACCTACACCCTTACATATAAGTATCATCTAAATATTAATCCTTGTCCATCTTGAATACATAGATTAGATTGGATTGGATTGGATTAGATTAGATTACCCTTATTGTCATTTTTTTTCCTGTGGGCACAATGGCACACATTAAAAATGAAATTTCGTTGCTCGCTCTCAAAGCGTACACATACAAAACACATATTTAAACATACTTTATACAACATATATATAGATCTACACCCTTACATATAAGTAACATCTAAATATTAATTGCTGTCCATCTTGAATACATAGATTAGATTAGATTAGATTAGATTAGGATTAGATAACCTTTATTCTCATTTATTTTCCTGTGGGCACAACGGCACACATTAAAAATGAAATTTAATTGCTCGCTCTCAAGGGTTACTTACATAATATACATTCTCCCCTGTGGAATTTATAGAATTTTACTTAACATAAATTTTGGGGAGCCCCATTGTGTTCATAAGGCGAGGACCACCTGTGCGGAAATAGGATGGGGTGGCATTGTAGAAAATTATTGAAATAAACACCCTCTTCAGCCCCTAAGATATTTTTCCTGTCGCAAAGACTGCAACGGATCTTTTTTCGTTTTTAGGAGATTTACAACACCCACAAAGCACGGCTGGTTGTGCCTTTGGGAACAAAATCACAACAATAAGGGTTTCCTGCAGCTTTCCGTTCCTTTCCAGGAGCAGCCAAGGAGCTCGATTGTCTGATATTTCCTTTGTCACACACTGTGGGATTTGAACTGTTGCGTGCAAGAGGGGCAGCTCTCCAGACAAAGAGTTCACGGAAAGAAGCAACAAGGGGGAGGGGTCCTCGACTTACGACCACAACTGAGAACAGAACAGAACAGAATAGAAAATATGGAATGGAATGGAATTAGAATTATAATAGAAAGAGAATAATAAAAATAGAATGGAATGGAATGGAATGGAATAGAATGGAATAGAATAGAATAGAATAGAATGGAATGGAATGGAATGGAATGGAATGGAATGGAACGGAACGGAACGGAATGGAATAGAATGGAATAGAATTATAATTAGAATAGAAACAGAATAATAAAAATAGAATAGAATAGAATAGAACAGAAAAGAACAGAACAGAACAGAATAGAATAGAACAGAACAGAATAGAATGGAATAGAATTAGAATAGAAAGAATAGAATAGAACAGAACAGAATAGAATGGAATAGAATTAGAATAGAAACAGAATAATAAAAATAGAATAGAATAGAATAGAATAGAACAGAACAGAATAGAATAGAATGGAATAGAATTAGAATTAGAATAGAAACAGAATAATAAAAATAGAATAGAATAGAATAGAATAGAACAGAACAGAATAGAATAGAATGGAATAGAATTAGAATTAGAATAGAAACAGAATAATAAAAATAGAATAGAATAGAATAGAATAGAATGGAATGGAATTATAATTAGAATAGAAACAGAATAATAAAAATAGAATAGAATAGAATGGAATGGAATGGAATGGAATAGAATTAGAATATAAACAGAATAATAAAAATAGAATAGAATAGAATAGAATAGAACTGGAAGGGACCTTGGAGGTCATCTAGTCCAGCCCCCTGCTCAAGCAGGAGAACCTATACCAGACAAGTGACTGTCTAGTCTCTTCTTAAAAACCTCCGGTGATGGAGCACCCACGATTTCTGAAGTCTTCTTGGAGAAGATTCAACTAACTCAAGTGTTTTCAACCTCAGAGTCTTTAAGATGGGTGGACTTCAACTCCCAGAATTCCCCAGCCGGCGTATCTGTTTCCCATTTAAGGGTCATCATGCCGCCCAGCCCATTTTTTTAACCTGTTTATTAATTTAGCTTGTCATGGGTTGCTTGTTTATTAATTTAGCTGTTTATTAATTTAGCTTGTCCAGGCACTTTGCTGAAGTCAAGGTATATTACATCTACCGCATTCCCGCCATCTATTAAGAAATCTATTACTCCATCCAAAAACTGCGCTGAAGGTAGTCTAGCCACATTGGTTCTTATCCACCCTGAATTCTGGTAAACCCTTGATGGCTGGGGAATTCCGGGAGTCGAAATCCACCCGTCTGAAAGACCCAGAGTGAGCTAGGTGGTCACTAAAAGGGGACACTGACCTAATGCCACATAATCCATCGGTCAATCCCACCCACCACCCACTAAGAAACTAGGCCTCGGTCCCAGAAACGATTTCAGGATCTCTTAACTTAATAATAATAATAATAATAATAATAATAATAATAATAATAATAATAATAATAATAATAATAATAATAATAATAATAATAATAATAATAATAATAATAATAATAATAATAATAATAATGTTGGAAGGGACCTTGGAGGTCATCTAGTCCAACCCCCTGCTCAGGCAGAGAAATTTCTTGCAAAATGGACTCTACTGACTTTGTGGCCCCCCCAGCCCCAGGACCCCCCCAACTCCCTCGGGGTACCTTTTGGGGTGCATTGATCACCCCGATGTTGTATCCGAATTGCAAGGATCCCAAGATGGCCGTGAGGACAGACAGGAGTAAAACGGGGGTCATTCCATTTCCATCGGCCTCGCCGCCCTGGAAAACAGAATTCCCGGGTTAATTTCGCAGCACGGAGAAATGGGGGACCCCGACACATTTGGGGTGAATTGTCAAAAACAAGCAAGCACATTCCCTTCAATAAAATGGGTGTTTTGTTTTTCTTCGTTTTGAACCTTATCCGTTTTAAAACAAGGGGACTTCAACTCCCAGAAGTCCCCAGGCAGCAATGCCAGCTGAGGCATTCTGGGAGTTGAAGTCCAAGGGGTCTTCAACCTTGGCCCTTTGATGACTAGTGGACTTCAACTCCCAGAATTCCTCACCAGGATGCTTTAAGACAGGGGTCTTCAAACTTGGCCCTTTTATGACTTGTGGATTTCAACTCCCAGAATTCCTCAGCCAGCGTGCCTGGCTGAGGAATTCTGGGAGTTGAAGTCCCCAACTCATAAAAGGCCCAAGTGGCTGAGGAATTCTGGGAGTTGAAGTCCCCAAGTCATAAAAGGGCCAAGTGGCTGAGGAATTCTGGGAGTTGAAGTCCACAAGTCATAAAAGGGCCAACTTTGAAGACCCCTGGATTAGGGTGTGGATGGGTGGACTTCAACTCCCAGAATTCCTCAGGCAGCAATGCCAGCTGGGGAATTCTGGGAGTTGAAGTCCAGTTATCTTCAAATGGTTAGGGTGTAGATGGATGGACTTCAACTCCCACAATACTCCAGGCAGCAATGCTGGCTGAGGGATTCTGGGAGTTGAAGTCCACTGATTTTAAAATAGCTGCAACTCTCAGAACTCCCTGGAATTTTCCCAGAATCCCCCAGCCGGCTGCTTATGACACCCCCTGAAATCAAATGGCTTAGTGGTGTTTTGGCACCACCGATTAACATGTTTTTCAAACTTGGCACCTTGAAGATGGGTGGACTACAACACCCAGAATTTCCCAGGCCTCAAGTCTGGCTGGGGGCCTTCTGGGAGTTGAAGTCCACCCATCTTAAAATGGCTCAGGTTTCGTACCTGCCGCTTCTACCAGTTGCTCCACCGGATTGCAAAACAAAGGCAAAAGGGCAGGCCGATTCGGAAAACATGCAGCCACAGGCCCATAATGCACAGCCCCTCGGGCAACGTCCCCTTGCGCAAGACGGGGCACGCACTCGGGCACACAAGATGCCCTGTTTTTCTTCCCAATCCTTCAGCCCTCCCCGTTTTGGAATTCCTGGCAGATAAAACACCTGGAGGGAGGCCAGATCCAGCCCTAAGGAGTCCAAAAATCATTATTTCCTGCTGCAATTATATATATTTTTTTCATTTTTTGCTACACCCTGCGCAAGCACACATACACACCCAAAAAAAAAGGTCAATTCACAGGGCAGAAGCAACGCCAACTGTCCAAACAATGGAAGGAGGAGAATTATGAATAATTCTGTAATTAATTCTATAATTGCTATCCTCCGGGAATCGGCCGGGTGCCTAGCTTGCTAAGAATTTTGTGCGAACAGTTCTGGAAAAATGAGAAGTGATAAAGAAAATCCTGGACTGTGCTGAGATGGACAAATTAACAAAAGAGATAAAAGAAAAGGAAGACACAGAATACTATTTAATATGGAACAAGTGGTATGACTGGCTGGAGAGTAGAAATAAGAGAGAATAAATGTGGAAAGGTTAAAAGTGGAAAATGTGTGTATAATAATGTATGAAGGAAGAAAAATGCAAATAAGAAATAATGGGGCAACAAGGACAAATATTCTAAAGAAGAATAAGGGGGGGAAATGTAAATAATAGAAGATTACTGTTACGAAATTGCTGTTAAGAAAAGGGAGGAATATATACTGTGTATATATGTGTGTTATGTTTTGTTTTGTTTTGTTGGTTTAAATAATAAAAATTATTAAAAAAGAAAATTTGTGTGAAAAAGAAATCAATATTTTTATTTAAGTATTCGATTGGAACCACCCTTTCGCGGCCCTCGTGTGGCCCACACCTTGCGCGGCAAGGAAGAGAGAGAAAGGACGGCGAACACACAACCACACAGGAAGGAAGTCAGCAAGGAGGGGCTTGCACTGTCACAAATGGAACGCTCTTGTGTTGTGTTTGTGTGTTGAGGTGGAAGCTCTTAAAAGACTTAAGTGACACCCTACCTCTGCAGGTTAAATCCTGAGGAGGAAGGGACATTGCGAAACATGTAGTCCTCGACTTACGACAATTCCTACAGTGACTATTCAGAGTTGCAAGGACACGGGAAAAAGTGAATTAGTGTTTCACACTTACGACTGTTGCAGCCTCCCCGTGGTCACGTGATCAAAATTCGGACGCTTGGCAACCGACTCGTATTTATGACGGTTGCCGGGTCCCGGGTTCAAGTGAACCCCTTTTGCGACCTTCTGACAAGGGGGAATCTGGATTCGCTTAACGACCAGGTTACTAGCTTATCAGCTTCCGTGATTCACTTAACAACGGGGGCAAGAAAATGCGTAAAACGCGGCAAAATTTACCTCACAAGTGTCTCACTTGACAAAGAGGTTTTGGGGCTCAACTGGGGTCACAACTGAAGGACTTTCAGCACTGCAAATATAACATCCTGTACCAGGCAGTGGGGCTTAATGGTTAAACTCTACTAAGTGAGGATTGGGAAGAAACACACCTTCAGGAATGGAAGCTCCCTGTCTCAGCCTGGCCTACCCCACAGGGCTGTTGTTGGGAGGGTCCCATGTATTTATTTTTTAGGTTTATTCTCTACAGCTGCCCCTCTCTTCGGATACAGCACAACGTAGCAGCCCAAAGGACACAAAACAAGCACAGAACACAATGTGTGTGTGTGTGTGTGTGTGTGTGTGTGTGTGTGTATATATATATATCTGTGTGTGTGTGTATATATATGTATATATATATATATATATGTATCTTAAAAACAATCTTAAAAACCGATGACTGATTCCTGGGTGCATACATGGTAAGAATTCTTACCATATATATGTATATATGTATGTGTATGTGTGTATATATATATACGTGTATGTGTGTTTAACTCTGTGTGTGTATATATGTATATATGTATATGTGTGTGTATATATATGTATATGTGTATATATATGTGTATCTGTGTGTGTATGTATATGTGTGTATATATATGTGCATGTGTGTGTGTATATATACATGTGTGTGTGTGTTTATCTCTCTCTGTGTGTATATATATATGTATGTGTGTGTGTATATATATGTGTGTGCAGGTCTTGGCATATTTGGGTCTTTTCCCGTGTAAGACCCGAATACGCCAAGACCTGCATACCTGTACCCGTGAAAATCTACGAAAACGTGTGTGTGTATATATATATATATATGTGTGTGTATATATGTTTGTTTATCTCTGTGTGTGTGTATATGTATATGTGTGTGTATATATATATATATATATATGTTTGTGTGCGTGTTCCCATATTTGGGCCGACAGGGTGCATCAAAAAAACACTCAAGACATATATATATATATATATATATATACTGTATTGGAAACCATACAATGCAAAACACAACACAACACAAAACGCAAGCTGAGGCATTCCACAACAACTAAACAACAACCAACATATAACACAGGTAGTCCTTGACTTACAACAATTTGTTTAATGACCGTTCAGAGTTACAAAGGCACTGAAAAAACCTGACTTAGGACCATTTTTCACACTTATGACCGTCGCAGCCTCCCCGTGGTCA